TTGCTTTGTCGCTTGATATTTACATAATAATTTCATTATGTCTCTATTCTATCTGTGGCTATATTTGCTGCGCAATGTTGAAGGAAACATTGAGGAAAGTGTTTAATTGGTTCACAAGGCCTTTTGACATGATTACATAAATATAAACCTTAGGGGCTGTACCGTGGAATTGCCGCCTCATGTTACAGAATATATAATAAGTTAGTTGTTTTGAATTGGAGGTCATATAAGTAGAAAGAATAGGCATTCTTTATAAGTTCTTTTGAGTTAACCGTATGCTTTTTATACGGATAGAAAGAACAGAAGATAAAAATAAAGATTTGTTTATGTACTGTGTGTATACACGCCCGCTACTGTAACTCCTACACACCAGGGTCTACAGCAGGGACCCATGAACACACCGAGTTATGACACTCGAGAAGTCTCAGGAAAAATTAAAACTGTCTTGAAAGGCGCAACGAAATTAATCAGAAGGAAATTGAAGCAATTGGAACCTAACCTAGCTACCATTGTAGATGTATCTGTGCTGAAATCAATAGCTTCAATAACGATAATGATCACTGACTTGTGCGAGGTACTTTAAACATCAACGTCATGGCTGAACAATTAAGGATTTTGTGTAATAATCTCCGACCTACATGGCTCTAAATATAGGATAGGATCTAAAACCTTTCAACTTTCATGTGGTCAGGATACTTAAAAAACGTATCTCAAAATTTGTTTCCCGCCAAAGGCAAACAGTAACCCGTTTTCCTCATGGACCAACTATGTACGCACAACTAGTAATGCCACCCCAGAATATGTTCTTAATGACACAACTATGCACAACTAAGCACAACTGATTTACTATTACCATTCTTTTAGCACAATTACAGGAGGAAATAAATAAGATGCCACTTCTGTCATATCTTTGTATATTAACAAATAGTACATTAGAAATGTCATTTATTATCAGTATTTATTTAAAAAATATTGCTATATTATTTTCGTGCATACGCTGGCGTATATCCTGACTGTAAGCATGTCTATGTCTACGCCAGAAGACGAAGAACTTATAACCATAACGATGAACCTTTGTACACCGATTGTAATTAATTGTTTATCTAGGAACAAATATTAATTGAAAATGAATGATTTAAAAAAAATATTCCTCATGACACAACTAGTTGTGCATACATAGTTGGTACATGACGAAACAACGAACAGTAAGAGTATAAATTCTCTCCCGAGCCTTGTGTGGAAAAGGTGCAAGTTTAGACCCACTAGCCGTTTTGGTTAGATAGGAGAGCTTTAAATAAAAAAATCAAAAAGCTGATACATTGCGTTCTCCGACCCTTAAACACACGATTGACAAGTTTGTATTTTTGTTTTGTATCTGACAAAACTGAAACCTGTGTGACAGAACTGTCGCCGACGAGATCGAGTATTTTTATGGACAGCTGTACACATCACACATCAAATAGTAATTGAGACTGTAAACACATAATTATAACCATTAAAGCGTCATCACAGCGAGAAATTCCTAAAAATATCCTAAGCATTTCCAGTCTCTTTCGGATAATAGAATTACTACCGAGCTGCCAAAAGCAGACTGTATCCCAATCTTCAAAAACCAGCGTAAAATGTTTTGCAGAGACAAATGAAGTAGTTATCACTTTAAATTCTGAATTCCGTGAACTGTCACTAAGTTCTCATTAACTTTTGACCCGGGAGCCGAATGACCCAGAAAATATTTGAAAGACCCCCGTTGAAATGATAAGCCAAAGTGATGCGTATATTTGTCCGTAATATTTACGTTCAAGTGTAAAAAGTAACATTATGAGTCATGTTAGTCACTGTTTAATCAAAGACCCTTGTTTATCGGAATAAATGACATATAAATTTCTATTTTATATAAATGTATACTCTATAATATCTTATATTAACTATTGAACATTGGCGTGCATTGGCGCGGCTGCTACCTAACATGAAGTGGCCCAATGACTCCTGCAGGAGCCTCTACGGGGGAGTTGTGCGATCCACGAACCTTTGTGGGACCGCAGTATGGGCGAAGGACCCGAGGGCCATCAACGTCGCACTACTGCGACGACCGTAGTGTGTTCTGGCCATCAGGATCAAAAGGGGGGACCGCACGATCTCCTTTGAAGCGTTGAGTTCTCTTGAATACCATATTTAAGTTGTTCTAAGCTTAATGCGCTTGTTGCATGTTTTTCCACGTCATTAAGTTTTGAACAGTCATCGATGTTCAAGATCTATTTGCTGGCTTATCAGACCCGTGGACAACATGCGTTGATAGTCGTAAAATTACTTTCGGTAGGTATTTTACATAAAAGGGTAAATTAATGATCAACAAAATACCTACTGTGATTAAAAGCAATTGGCATGTATTTTATCTGTAGCTCATTCGCAGTTTATTAATCTTGTACATGGTATAGTTACTAATTTGGTAAAAAAAAAAATTTGTTTATTAATGGTTTACAACTTAATCCCATTATTATACAATTGATATCATATTGATAATTTACACAGATACATTCAATTTTAACGACGATAACTACCGCCGGCAGGACACTCGAGTAGGCCGTGAAAACACTCAAAATCACCGGAACTAAACTATGTAAAAACTAACTAAAGCAGTTACTGAAATATGAACTAACATTACTAGCCTACACTATACTCACATTTACATACACAAAAAGATACAATACAATTCAATTTCAACAAAAAACTAAACAAATTTAAAATAAACGAAATACGAATTACAAAAAAAAATGTTCATCACTTTCAAATGTGGGAGTGAGCAGCATCAATCCCAAAGCAAATTGATTCATCTAAATAAATCTGTAACCATGTAGTAAGCATTTTCACATAGTTTTTGTTTTACTAAGGACTTAAATTTGTTAATACTTAATTTATGGAATTTGCTTGGCATTTTATTGTAGAATCGCATACCTGACGTCGAGAAGACTTGCTTACTTTTTGAAGTCTATTCGTCGGCAACACGAGATCATCTTTTTTCAAGTGTTTCCGTGTTCGTGTTTTCAGTGTTTCCTAGACCAAGAGCGACTGCCATCAGACCTCCACAGACCAAGTACTCGGCGCTATCGAAGTTCCTGAGAAAGACTGTTTGTCGGACTTTAAAAAGCTCCGACTACCTGTAACGATTGCCACATGTGTTAGTAGTGCAACCGGGACCGACGGCTTATCATGCTCTCCGAATTACGGAGGGGTCTCAATGTGTTAAGAATGGTCACCCATCCATAGACTGACCTGGCTAGGATTGCTTAACTTTGGAATGTGTAAACTTACTCGGTTCCACCTAGCCACAAACCTCTAGGTTTCCACACCTATAAACAATATTACTAACATCCACAATCAATGTTCTTCACACCACTAAAATTACTTTGTATCTTAAGCAATAAAATGGTTTTAATTTAATTAATGCATTGCAAAGCCCATAAATAATAACAATGAACTAAAAAATGAACAAAGACAGGATTAGACTGACCTTAGGTCAGACAGTTATCTTATCAATAACTTTATTGGTTATCATTAAATTTATAATAATGTAGATAAAAAATCTACAATTAGTTAATCTGCAAAACAAAAATCACTATTTTGAGCGACGCAAAAAAGCGATGACAAACATAAAGAGAAATCTCGTAGATATTATTAGATAGAAAACTCTTAAATTGTAGACCATTTTTACTAGAGACTTAGTAAATACAAATGTTAGATGTGTAATGTATAAAGGGCGGCCTTATGGCTAAGTACAATTTCTTCTAGGTAACTTACATACAGCAAGTGAAGGAGAAGGTGGGAGTCGTGGCCTATCAAGAGGTCAAACAGATCGCAGGAAATAGAGAGGAGTGGCGATTGTTCCACCGACAAGATCTTGGCTCTTAAATTGAGAGAGAGAACCTTAGGATTCATCAAAGTAATTCAGAGACACAATAGTATTTGATGATGCATTTAAATTTTGAAATTATTAGTTATTATTTTCTACAAATGGTCATATATTTTGGTTATCCTTACTTATATTATAAATGGGAAAGTGAGCTTGTTTGTTTCTTTGTTTGTTACGCTTTCACACCTAAACCATTAAATTGATTTTTTTAAATCTTTCACCAATGGAAAGCTACATTATAAATTATCAGCGAGTACAATATACGCTACTTTTTACCGCGTAAACCGACATACACGCGGGCGGACCCACCGGCAATAGCTAGTTTATAATAAAACAATGGCTACCAATATTACCACCATTTTTAATCGAAAAACCACGGAATACTTTGGCAAACATAATTTACATCATGTTCGCTAAAGGTTTATCTAGTATGTTATACTTCATACAATGAATCTGTAATAGTTATGTTGACTTTCTTTAAGGATTTTAAGTACTTTTTGTTTGTTTGGTTGCTTTTAATGTTTATTTAACATTTCCTGAGAAAACCATTTCCCATGTTTTTTCGATTCCGTACTTGTAGAGAAATATAATGTTTATTTTCATAAAACCAATTGTTAACAAAATATAATTGTTTCCTTTTTTAAAATCCTATTTATGTAGGTTTAAGTCAATACACTATGATGTATTTACATTCAGACAGTGTGCTCTGGAAGTAACAAAATAGATTCTAAATACCCTAAGAAACACTGAAATATCAGAATTTAAGTTTATCAAGTTTAAATGCAACAACATATTTTTTTCCTAGATATTGCTAATTTTTTTACAGATTTTCCTTACACAGTGTTGACGGTTCCTTAGTTCTGTGCGTATTCTAATATTATCTAATATTTCATTATTTCTTGGAGTCCCGAACGCCAAAAACGTCATATGCGATTTGTTTTGTTTCGACCCAATACTTATCTTTATACCTCTCTGAGGGAATGTACCGGTTGACCGGAATTAGTAAACAACATCTCCACGCGGTATGATTGGTACTATATATGACACTAAATCAGACACAAGCATTTATTGCCTTGCCAATCATTCACACAGTATGGCGTCTTCTCGAGTGTCTTGTGTGTATGTAATTGTTCTTCTTTTAAATTTTTCTGTCTCTGTATTCCCGGGTGTTGTAAAAGAAGGTTAGTATTAATTTAGTATTTTTTTAAATATTTTTATAAGGATTCTTAAGTGTAAATAAATACTTATTTAATAAATTTTGTAAACATTGTGCTGTTTTTTTTTTCAAATTAATAATATCTTTCAGTAGCTACATCAGATCTGAATGACTTCCCTCTAATATCGCGCGATGGCTGGCACGCTGAACCTTCGGCGAACCAAAAACTATTAAAACTGCCTACTCCTTACGTTGTGATACATCACACATACATACCAAAAGCCTGTTACTCGTTTGAAGAATGCGCAAACGCCATGCGGTCTATGCAGAGGTATCACAAAAGCAGCTTGAAATGGGGTGATATTGGATACAAGTAAGTCATTTTGTTGAAGTATCTACTGAAGTAGCTCTCTACAGTGTTATTCTTTGCTAATCCCTCGGGAACACAACATTTCTTCGAGATAAAAAGTAGTGTATGTGTTAATGAAGGGTGTCAGCTACCTCCATACCGAATTATTTTACAAACATACACACTTGCAAACATTCGCCTTTGTAATTTTACTTAATGTGAAAAGAAATATTACAGATTTATTAATATTGTTGCGTCTTCTAAAGTGGAACTTAGGTTGACTTCGTAAACAACGAGCCGTCGCGATCGCTGATCAAGACCGATACTATAGCTGTATAAACATAAACCCTATATTATCTTTATAAATCTGTCAATAGAAATTAGTTTTTATTTTTGGTTTAGTTTCTGTATCGGCGCAGAGGGTACCGCCTTTGAAGGACGAGGTTGGGATTATAAAGGTATTCATGCTGGTCGAGCGAACAACCACAGCATCGGTATCTGCATGATTGGTGATTGGAGAGGTAAGTGTACTAATCTACATAAACTATGTATGCGTATATATATATATACAAATTTACAAGCCGTGTGGTGACGGATTAAGAATACGGAGTGTTGCGACCCCTATTCATCCCGTGGGTGTCGTAAGAGTCGACTAAGCGAACAAACCCTATACCAACCCGTCTGGCCATCGTGGTATAGTAGGCCAAAACCTCCTTTCTAAGGAGAGGCCTATGTACAGCAGTGGACTATTAAAGACAGTTAGTACAGTTGATGATAATCAATTTTACACGAAAACAGCTCGTTACTAATATTTAACCTTTTAAAGGATCCTTTGATGATGGTGATGATTGCCCTGAAAATCTGTATTAATTATAATTTACATTAATTTGTTATATATGTTTTAAAATGAAACTAATAATTTAATGTATCTACCCTACAGAAAAACTGCCACCTAAAAAATCAATGGACACGCTGAAAGCTCTAATTAAAATCGGAGTACAGATGGGCAAAATAAGAGAAGACTACAAACTAATAGGACATATGCAGGCTATGAGCACAGAGTGTCCAGGAACTGCACTAATGGCAGAAATCTCCACCTGGAAAAATTTTGCACAGGGTAAACCTGATTTTGCACAAATAAGTTCTATCAGTAATTAATTTAATGTTACTGTATTTTTAATTAATTTATTTTTGTACTAGTCGAATAAAGATTTTATAACAAAAGATTGTGGTTTCAATTTATTTTATTTGTAGTCAATCAATTGGACTATCACAGTATAATACTGGACACAAAACTCTCCTAATATTCGCTATAGCATCCAATCCTTCGCCATCCCCAGGAGACCTGTTATTCTTTAACTGCCAAAGAACCACCTCTATCACACATTGGTGAAATTTTAAGGTCCCCTTTTAGTAATCTCGCTGGTTCTATCATCCATAATGCATACAGTTCTCAATAAAAGTACTTGATTTATTTTTGAAAACCTTATAAAGTTTAGATACTTATTGCATCTAAGTTTAGTTAACCTTATTTATTCCTTACACTTGTAGATTTATAAAAAGAGTATTGACTGATAGAATAATCAGTCAACAGTTCTTCTATTCATACCTACTTAATACATGACACTTTTGCAGAATTGCAAAGGTCTATTCTTTTTATTTTTAAGACCTCCAAGTTAAAACAGCTCGCCAATTTTAATGAGACGTCAACTCGACGGTACATCCCCTAAGGTTTATATTTATGTCATCATGATAAAGGGCCTTACTCAACAATAATATATGAATGTATGTAAAATACTTTCCTCAATGTTTCCTTCAACAATCCGCAGCAAATATATAATAATAATAATATGTGATGTGTGAATACCAAGCAGATTTTTAGTCCTTTTTTTAAGGACCTCCTCTTTGTTCACTTAATTTCATTAAGGTTAGGACGTAGGCATCTCATGTTATTTCTTTTCTATTATACACGATCCTGTAAACCAGCAAATGAGCCGAAATTATTTATTGATTACTAAATATTTATGAAACTTTTCCTGTACACTATTGATCGAAGCTTGACTGGGCGGAGATACAGACCTACGGTAATACATCTGCTCCGATTGATACTCCGGATGGATATTACATGACACCTGCTCTGTTTTTAAATAGAGCATTTAAAAAAAAACATAAATTGTAGTTTCTGTAGATAATATGAAGAGACATAATACAATTGTATTTCTACTAATCAGTACTAGCAAGTATCTAAGTACTGAGTAGAAATATTTATGTAAGGGATATAAAGTTCTCGAGTGGCGACTGCGTACCGGAAAACGCAGCGTGGGTAGCCCCACAAGTCGTCCGATGACCGTTGGTTGCGGACAGCACAAGACCGATTGTTCTGGCGAACCTTGGCGAAGGCCTATGTCCAGCATCGTGTTCTACCTCTCGGCGCCTCAGGCCCAGATACTTCATTTGATCTTCGAAGGAAGGTGGCATAAATCGAGAATTCACCAGAAGCTGGTGCCCGCGCTTTGCGGTTAGGCGCTAGGAGGGCTCCGGATGTCTTAATAATAGTTCGAATTGAAATAAGTATTGGATTGCCTATTTATGGAGGAAGGCTATATAACATCACGCCAGACCAATAGGAGCCGAGCATCAATGAAATATATTGCAAATACGAGGAAAATCTATTCTTTTTAATAGGCGCAGAGGAAGTTGCGCTGGTTGTTGGTAATTAATAATTAGGTTATAGAATTTTAATAGTGTCATACCTATATTCCAGACTAAGGTGCTTCTTTTGTATTGTACATATTTGTGTATGTATGTATTTTTTATTTACCTTTTCATTTGTTTGACTTATATTAATATAGAGATAACGTATCGTAACGTGACTGGAAAGCGTTAGGTGCGCACACGCTACATTTTAATAATGTCAGTATCTGTCTTATAGGAGACTGGACCTGTAAGCATTACATAATATTGTACTATTAACTTTTTTGTCCCCTAGGAAAATCTTCTCTTCTTTTCTTCTTGTTTTCTTCCTATTTTCAAATCTCTCTTTAAATCTTAGAATTTTTTTTAATGACATTGCAACACAATCACAATAATATTGTGCAGAATCAGAACATATATACGAGTAGTATTATAACACGTAACGAATTAGAATATAATATAGTATTAAACAGAGTAAAAATTTTCATATTTGTAAATAAAGTTATAACAATTGATATCAATTTCTATATATTCTTACACATAACACAAAAACATAGTATATAGGTAAATAAGATATTTGCTGTACAATTGCATCGCAGTGTTTATTAAAAGGAAATGTTGCTCAGAATAATGCTGCACCATTACGATACAGAGCTGATTTTAAGCAACTCCTCGATAGAGATATATGGAGAAACATCATCGGTCATCGCCAAGTTGGAGCCACTGAGTGTCCTGGTGCAGCTTTATTTAAAGAGATTTAGTCGTGGGAGATTTCCTAGTTCATATCATGATCTTCTAACGTTAACAGAGTTCTGAATTTAAATCAGCGAAACGAGAAATTAAGGATTGAAAATTAATGTGTGACAATTAAAATAAGATAAAAGTAATGAGTTGAATAAAACACGTGTACATAAAATGAATGCTATTTTACCATACATAACTCCTCGATAAGTAGTAATTTATAACCATAAATAAACTAATAAGTAACGTGCAGTTGGTTAGTTTAATAAAATAAAATAGCATGCAATTTCTAAATTGTTTTTACTTCACAAAATATTATAATGTTACAAAGTATAAAGATTCTCATTATTTATAGAAATACTAGATGTCCCGATAAACTTGTATCGTCTACCTCTATTTATCTATAAGTATAGTTTTACATGATAGTGTATTTTTCTTATAAAATAAATATAAAGAAAGTTCTCGCGTACAATTTGTTATGCTAAAGAATTACAGAATATTTTAAACATAGTAAGAACGAGTGGTGTCACTATGTATGGCAAAGGTATAACATATTTGTTAGTTGTCAATCTAAATAAATAAGATTACGACCAATTCCGTACAAAGAAATAGCCAGTATGCAGAACAAACCTTGGCTTGCAATCACCTTTCACACGAATTTGCTGCAATTACAATACTAATGTTATCAAAAAGAATGATCACATTTTCAATTTTTAAATCAAAGTTATTGCCTAGTTGTAGTAGTTTGTAGAAACCACTGTTCTTTTTTTATTTTTAGTTTAGTATTTATATTTAGTATTCGACATTTTTTTACTATTGCTTCTATTTTTATTGTTTCTTTTTAAACAAAATTTCTAGTAACTGTTCCATGGGATCCATATTTTATCTCACTGTACTGATATTGTTACTAATGTTATGTACACCGTAATTGTTGTATATATCAGAAAAATTCCCAACAACTGAATGTAACGTGAATTGTGTAATATATACAATGTGGTTGTACTTATTGTAATAAATAAATAAATAAGAAATATAGCTGAGACGTTTAATTTATTTTTAAATTTACCATTCCATTATTATTGAGAACATTAGACAGTTTAATATTTATAATAGTAAATTTTTTTTTTTTTTTATATTTAGCTTTTCTTTAGTAACGCTGTGTTATACGAGGTTTTTATATTGACACGTAGAGGGTTTCTGTATTGAGTCGGTCTTACAGGTTCTTTTTGGTTTTAATGGTATTTAACTATTAGAGGCATAAATATTTATTGACAACTGTGCATGGTGTTCCAATTGTACATCATTTCCACTTCAAAATTACATTATCAGGGAGTTACGGAGACGCGAGCAAAAGCTCTTAGGTATTTCTGTTCATAAATATATGTATAATCAATCGCGATTGGTTATTTCCATTACGAATCGATAATGCTTTATTAAAATTTGTATTTGCTCTGTAAATGATTGTAAACACCGACAACATTTGAGCTTAGTTTGTTCGGTGTTCTTTCCTCTTACTTGCAGAACAGTCAGAAAGTCAGCTGTAGACAGACATTAAAAGACTAATCAATGCGATAGTGAAGCCGCCGGCTTCACTATCGCAATGATTAATTCGATTTTCTAGAGGTCATTCACCCTGAAGGAAAATGCTATTGTATAGCATTTAGCATTTAAAATTATATTTAGTTTCCAAACCACGTACCTAATTATCTAATTTAGGTATAATACAACGTCAGAACTGATAAACGGTTAGTAATATTTAAACGACGACATAGAACCTGTACATAAGAAATATGCTAAAAAATAATCATTCTCCTTACCTAACACTTTTGAATATCAATAAACTTATTTTTCATTGCAAAACAATCGTCATGCCTCATGGTTGCTGAAATAATTGACCGGAAACATTTTAGTTTTACCTCAATAATGGCGTCTGATATGAAGTCACTCCTGTTTATGTAATGGCAGGTAATTTACGTAGCTACAGATATATTTTAAAAATATATCTTTATTATCATTAATGTCTTTTGATTCGTATTTTTTTTGAGCTTCTACTGAGTGAGGCTTAAAACAGGTAGCTGATTGAGAAGAAGCCTCAAGAAATCCAGTCAGGTTTTTTTCATAATACTTCTTCTTTTTCTCAGCTCTAACAAGAATCTATTATCTAATAGTATATTGGTTGCGATGATCATTTATAATATATCATTATAATATATAATAGGTTTGAAATTTGAATTCAACACCCCTATTTTTAATTTTATTGTAATAACCTAGCAAATCTCACGCTCCTCCATCTAATCACACATTAGGCTGACGCTCTACCTTGGTAAGGAGACTGGTATATGTTCTATTATGTATATAACTATGTAAAAACTAAAAACACACCTCCAGGCAGAGAACAAAGGTGATACTCATCACACAATAACGTGTCCTGGGTGGAAAACGAACCCCCGAATCCTAGCTTAGCAATTACAATAACGATCGATACGATTACGATACAATAAGTCAAATACTAATGTGATTGACGTTGAGGGTCAGCAGCTTAATAAAAAAATATACTATTCATACTAAAAAAAAGACATCGTATTATGAACTGCCTCCTTTGTTGAAGTTGGTTAATAAAATTTGGTGGCACAATAAATCTCAAAAACGATAATATGGGGAACGCAGTATACATAATTTAAATACATCAGAAACACGTACATTTAAAATCTCAATGACGCTTTAGGTACGTAATGTATAAACTAGTATGGAAATTGGTCATTTTCAAATTCAGAAACACGAAATAAGAAGGAATCACGCGAGCGAAGCCGCGGGGCAATAGCTAGCAGATAATAAGAGGTAACGCTTGGTGAATCTAGTAGCTGGAGGTAATTGACTAGTCTTTTCTATAGCAAATTAGGAGTAGTAATCAGTAAGTAATAAAACATCCGAGTAATTGGTAAAAAATATATTAATAATAATAATAGTAATAATTGTAGGACCATGGATAACAGGGGTTATATAAACGACTTAGGTAGAAATAATCTACCCAACTGTATTTGTGGTATGGAGGATGCTGAATGCCCATTCGGTTAACGCTCATTTTCGCTGGCTCTGTAAAGTTATGTCTTTCCGGCGCAAAATGTTCCCAAGTGGACAATTCTTTCATAAGTGCATTTCCAGGACAATTCGTTTTTCGGGTCTGCTTGTGTCCTATCAGTTTGTAGTCTCTTTTAACCTTACCTGTCAGAACCCCTGTTCTCAGCAGAGCTTTAAGGGCATCCATTTGTATTTCTGGTGGTTTTGTATCTGTAGCAAAAAAATAAAATTATTCAGCTGAAGACGACAAGTCAATGAAGTATCATACAAACCGTTTAATAGACAAGGTTTAATTGGTTTTTCTTCCATATCAAAATTAGAAGCATTACAGAAATGCTTCATCTTTTCTTGTCTGTATTTTCCACTGTGTTATTAATTTAACATTATTAAGTCACGGCAGCTAGATTTCTCTGTAATAGCTTAATCTAATGTGGTAGATGATTATCAAATGAAATCAGTGTCTTTTTATCAAACTTGAAAATTATAGCCTTCGTAAATTTGTGTACCAAATCTTAAGGCACCAGACACCAACGTCACGCCTCACGTCTTTGGTACACAAAGAGGATTTGGTAAGACGCAACAAATTGAATTTAAATTAAGAATAAAATGATTGAAAATATCACATAAGATCTCAATAAAATCCTTGTTACGAGTATGTTTCTACATTATGTGTATGTTTATTTTTCTTTGTTTTGTGGTTTGTTTTCTATATGTACTGTACTAACACTCACTAGTCTCTAAGAATATTGTTACTAACAAAATGGATACCATGCTTTGAAATTAAGAATTATTATAACTATAATTAATTAAACACATACTTTCCCAATCGCCAATCATACAGATGCCAATGCTGTGATTGTCAGCTCGACCGCTGTGGGCTCCTATGTGATCCCATCCCCGCCCTTCAAAGACACCGCCTTCGCTACCAACGCAGAAGCTACACAAAAAGGCGAACAAGAGATTAAAGATTTTTATACTTTTTACTTTTTGTCATACTTTCTATACTTTGTGACCGAAAGGGAAGGGGAAAGGGTGACCGAAGCCATGTGCCGGTATCATAGGTGAAGTAAGTAAAGTCCTCGGAAATTAATGCCAACGAGCACATCACATCAACAGCCTATAACAGTCCACTGTTGGACATAGGCCTCTCCTTAGAAAGGAGGTTTTGGCCTACTATACCACGCTGGCCAGACGGGTTCGTATAGGGTTTGTTTCAAGTTTTCCTTCACTTTGCAGTGCTGTTGTCCTGCGTAGTTGGCTCCCTTAGTCGGCTCTTACGACGTCCACGGGATGAATAAGGGTGGTGACATTCCGAATTCTTAATCCATCACCACACGGACTCATCGAATGCCAACGAGCATACATCAGTAATTACTTATCATTGTGTTGCTTTAAGTGAGGAGCAGCGCTGAGACAACGAGCTTTGCTTTGACAAGAGAATGACGATTTATATCTGTGAGATAATATTAAGCTAATAGAAGCTAAAATACTAACATGTTATTCTTGATTACGAGAGTTCAGAATTAAAAGGAGTGTTTTAAAATATTCTTTGTAAATAACAAATTAATATCAGCGGTCCACGGTATATCATTAAATAATTAAAAATCACCGACCTTAATGGACATAATGTGCATTATGATGAATAGTTCAATAGAAGAGTTCAATACACAGTGATACGTGGATATAACGAAAACATATGTACAAACGGAGGCCTTATTGCTAAAAGCGTTCCTTACAGGCAATCTTTAGATGGACAAATCGACAGTAGTAATTTTTAGAAACGTTCCCATATGTTCCATTATTTAATTTTTTAAATTATAATTTATGACTTTTGAGTGTGTATTTTAGAAATTTATAAAACTTACAATAACATAATCACCTTTGAATAAACAATTGCCTGTCGTTTTGACTAGTTTGCACTGGTCGTGGTGATGGTGTCGAAACGTCAGGCATTTCAAAGGTATGTACTTAATACCTATCGTGAGTGTCTTAATTACCGTCAAGGTTATTATATATTCTCGTAATATATTATGGCACGTTATAGTTTAGAAAAAAAAAAGTGACCTTCGATAGGCAGAGACGTTCATTGAGGATTTTTTTCTGGTAGTAAACCATATGTAGGAGGGTATCGTAGGTATTGTAACAAGCATAACTTGTTAAACAACCATATTAATGTATTTGAACCACATCCAGTAAAATACTTATTATTCGACCAGCAGTCTTTAATATCTTTTCCACTCCACCAAACAGTGCTTATCCAAAACCAAAGTATAAGTTGCTATAAAAATATTCACTATCGGTGTGCCTCATACATTTCGAAGTTCTCTCGATTTTTCCAGATTCCATCATTCGATCCTAACCTGATGACGTTGCGACCAGTTTTGAGCAATTAAGTAAAAAAGACGTCGGTTTAAAAGAAAATTAAGTCAGTCGAATGTAGGAGATAAGTTATGTTTGGTTTTTGTTATACTCGTAAGTTATAAATAAAACATAATAATATATTGCAGACATCGTCCACTGTGTTTTTTACTTCGTAACCGGTTATACGCCAGTATCTCCATTAACGAAATTTCTAAGTTAAATCGACGAAGGTGGTTCCCCGTAGAGTTTTATATTAATTATGTTCATGCACTTGAAGATACGATATAATATAAGTAATACTGCATGTATTGGGTAATCCTGACTGCTGACCTGACCCTAACCTAGTTTATAAAAAGGAAGAGATAGAGGAAGATGAACTTTAATCGTACATAATGTATTACATGTACTTACTACATAAAATCGATAGTTGAAACTGTAAATGAGGCTAGGTTGCAGGTATTTTATGTTTGGAGTGAGTTCACAACAGAAGTCTATGTCTAAGTGATATATCTGTAATAAGCACTCGATAAATATTTATTTAACTATAAAAATACCATAGGAGGACATCCGCAGACCAGGTGGAATAACGATTTGCGCAAGATGGCTGGTAGGAGCTAGATGCGAGAAGCCAAAAATCGATCTAAGTGATGACTTTGATTTGTAACAGATACGGGTAATGTTAATTTTTTATTATTTGATTGGAACGGGCCGTTTTATGGTATCTGTAGTCGTTTTTGTATCTGTTTTTTTTAACAGCGAGGTTTTTTTCTGTCTCCCATTCTCTTACTGATCTGATCACATTGAAGAAATGGACATAGGATCCAGAAATAGTACTATTCCCTAGGATAAGCAAATAATTAAACAGATTAACAAGTTGTCGAACCTCACCTTGTGCCTACCCACGCTACGTCTTCCGGTAGACGGTCGCCACTCGAAAACTTTTTGGCGTTTATACAGTGCAAGTTTATACCCACAATCGGTACGGTATGGCAAGGGATCTTTTGGCATACCTACGCGCAGATGCACACTGACTGCAACAGCTTGATTTAGGACAGTTATTTTTTTATTATTCATTATTTTGAATCTGCCATCTTTGCAAAACTATGCACCTACACACATGCAATCAGACTGCCGAAACCAGCTAGAGGGTTGCTTCGATGATTCTTAGGTTTGCCCTAGCTTTCGAAGACTTTCGAGGTATACCGAGGCATCCTCACGTATGTTTTATACTGCCAAAGACGTAAGAGGTGTGCAGAGGTGTACCTTGACAGTCTTGACCTGCCATGCCGTGCCCATAGTGGGCGCTGAGCCTTACTTTTAATGAAATATTTCATCTTATATTGCCATCTGCTATTTTAATAAAGAAATAAAAATATCCTTTTTAATATATATTAAGCGGTCAATTGATTTAGGATGCAATACGGCACGTTATTAAATCAATAGAAAGTGTTATAATGCTTATCGTGCATATTTAAGTTTATTCGCCGCGCATTAGGTACTTTTAAACATATTGAGAATCCATACTTAAATTATAAATGAGAAAGTGAGTTTGTTTGTTTATTTTTTAAACACGCGGGATAAAGCTAATAGGAAATAATAATGATAATTCAATATGTCAACAAGCTTTATAACAGTCGACAGGCCTTTCGCCGCGGGCACATAAAAAGGTCATGGGGACAGTACCGTCCACTAACTGTTTTATGCCCTAGAGTGAATCATGAAGATCGTTTCCAAAAATTTTTTATTTGACTAGTAATGTTTGTTAGTTTGGACATCTTCTTGGAAGTAAAAAAGTGCTAGCTCGTATCTTAAGTAGTTAAAGTTTTATTAGTTTGGAATTAAAGCAACATGAGATTTTATTTTAAATCTGGCAAAAATCTCAACAATCGAACGAAGCACGGTCATTCATATTTAAATTAAATATTTGTGTCTAAAGTCAGTGATTGTGGCGAACTTTGTGCGAAATATACTGTTAAAAGTGTGTACTTTCGAACTGGATATTGGGTGAGCCATTATATAGTGCTAATCAACATCTTTTTGCTTTTTTAGACTTGATATCGAAACTTTTACACCGTCAATAAGTGATAATAAAGTGCGATTCGTAGAAACGCGTAAGTACCGCGTATTGCACGGCGCTTCGGACGTTTTGGTCGCGAGGTTGGCGCGTAGCGACACAGTGGACTTGTACGGAGTATTTCAAACATAATATTTTAAGAGTAATACTATAACGATTAGTTTACCGTTTGTATTATAAATCGGGCTTCTCTTAGGCTTAAAGATATGTCACTATCTACACTGAAATGGGGTTGCTGTACTAACGAGGAGGCCGAGGAACATGAACAGTTTATCAACTGTATTCGATGCAATAAGTCGTATCATTTCCTTTGCCTGTCTTTACCGGAGATTCCAGCTGACTCCGATGTTTATCGCCAATGGAAGTGCCCAGTATGTATGATTCTAACCTCAAAAACTAGAACAAAAGATTGTACACCTGTCCGTAACACGAGTGTCTCAACCACGCGAGGTAGCAAAAGACAGGCACTAAACTCACCTCCTGAGTCCTCCGCTGTCACAGCTGAGGATGTCCGCTCGATCGTGCAGAGCGTCATTGAGACTGAGTTTGCTACATTACTTAAACAGCTCAATAACACTTTAGTTAGCACGCTTAACAAAGAGCTAGAACCGCTTAAAACCGATATAGAAGAATTGAAAACATCGTTTACATTTCATACAAAAGAATTTGATGAACTTAAATCGGAACATGTCATAGTGAAAAGCAACATAATTAATTTAAAAGAGGAAAATCAGCAGTTAAATAATACAGTCTCGGAGTTACGTCAAAAATTGAATTATTTAGAGCAACACGCGCGGTCGAACAACTTGGAGATACAATGTTTGCCTGAGAATGCAAAAGAAAACCTATACACTGTAGTCAAACAATTGGGTTCTGTGGTTGGATGCGAGTTAAAGGATGGCGACATTCTGCACGCCACTCGTACAGCTAAACTCAACAAAAGCATTGCTCGCCCGCGGTCTGTTGTCGTTCAGCTTGCTTCACCAAGAACGCGTGACCAAGTTCTGGCCGCTGTTATTGAACATAACAAAAAACATAAAGCGAATAAACTTAGCACTTCTGATTTTGGATTCGCTGGCAGCAAATCACCGGTGTATATCGTTGAACATTTATCGCCTGCCAATAAAGCGCTTCATGCCGTAACGAGACTTAAGGCAAGAGAAAAGGGGTATAAGTACGTTTGGGTAAGAAGCGGCAGGATTTTTGTCAAAAAGGACGACAACTCGGACAATATACATGTGAAAAATCTAGACTTTTTGAACAGTATTCTGTAAAGTATTTTTTTTTTTGTTTTCTACATTCCAGCTCGATATATTAACTTCTTTTCATTAAAATTCCATAACTTGCAAATTTACTACCAGAATAGTCGTGGGCTCAGAACAAAAACCCACACAGTTTATCGCAATATTTCTTGTAATAATTATGACATAATCATTTTAACGGAGACCTGGTTAAATGATTCTGTGTTAAGCGGCGAATTGTTCGATAGTAGGTATGTCGTGTATAGAAGGGACAGAAATACATCTGCCCTACATAGTACTAAGGAGGGTGGTGGAGTTTTGATTGCAGTAAAAAATACTATTAAGTCTAGGCATATTAAAGAATGGGAAAGTGATTGTGAAGACATGTGGGTGGTCATAGATATGCCCGGAGGGCATGCAGTACGTCAATTTGTTTTCTGTGCAGTATACTTACCACCACCTGTACGCCGGCCCTCTTTAGATATGTTTATTGATCATTGTAACGCGGCATTTGAACTAATGGCAGACGCTGAAGTTTGTATTGTGGGTGACTTCAATATAAGTAGTATTGATTGGAATTCAGTTAATGCAACCAGCAATAAAGCATTATCCGGCTTAGGTGAAATCTTGGTAGATTTTATAAATATTAATAGGCTGGAGCAATTCAATTTTGTAACGAATTCTGCGGGTAGGATATTGGATCTTGTCTTGTGTACCTTATCATCATGTAATGTAAACAAGTGTTTAAACCCTTTAAGTAAAGTGGACATGCAGCACCCACCGTTGGATATTTTGATCACTCTAGCTAAGAGAGCTACGCTTCCTTATAATACTGTTAATACAAAGCTTAACTTTTATAAAGGCGATTATACATCAATTTGTAAATTCTTGCATGAACAAGACTGGGACCGATTGATCGGCGGACTGAGCGGTGTGAATGAGATGCTTGAGGTCTTCTATAATATTATTAATTATGTTATAAAAAAGTACATACCCTCCCGCGTCCCAAAACGTAATAATTATCCCCCATGGTTTAGTAGAAGATTAATAAAAATGTTAAACCAAAAATATAAGCTCAGGCAACGATATAAAAAATATAACAACCCCATAGACGCAATAGAATTAAAATATATCGGCAAACATTGCGATCAGCTAGCAAAGGAATGTTACAGTAGCTATGTTAAATTTATAGAAACAGAACTTATAAAAAATCCGAAGCTATTTTGGACATATGTGAAAGCTAAAAGAGGAGGGACAAGCACGTATCCTAGGTCGATGACAGACGGAATAAGAATGTCAGCAGATGGTACTGAGATATGCGAGCTATTTGCAGATCACTTTATCTCCGTCTATAATCAAGAAAAGAGTATCAGCAACGATCATAACTCAGAGTATTTACAATCTTTGGAAAAAAATAGTATTAGTTTACACAGTAATTACATAAATTACAAAACTTTATTGACAAAATTAAAGAATATAGATACCAATAAAGGACCTGGGTCTGACGGAATACCACCTATCTTCATTTCGTCTTGTTCCACTGAGCTGGTACGCCCACTTATGCTTATTTATAATAAATCTTTATCCACCGGCGTATTCCCTATGAAATGGAAAATAGCAAAAGTAGTTCCTATATATAAATCAGATAATATAGAAAATGTTGCTAACTATAGACCTATCTCAATTCTGTCGTCATTTGCCAAAATTTTCGAATCGTTAATATGTGTAGACGTTCAGAACCACTTAAAGCTGTATCTGAGTGATCATCAGCACGGATTTGTTGGCCTTAGATCCACAAGCACAAATTTAGTTTCTTTTGCCGAATTACTGTTTAAAACGATAGACGCAGGTCATCAGGCAGACGTCATATACACGGACTTCAGCAAAGCCTTTGATAAAGTGCCTCATACAATTTTAATTTCCAAATTACGAGCTTACGGCATTTCTGGCACCTTGCTTAAGTGGGTGACGTCTTACTTGCAAGATAGGTATTTTTTCGTGGTCGTGAACGGTTATCAATCCACTCCAAAACACATTCGTTCTGGGGTACCGCAGGGCTCGCATTTGGGTCCAATTTTATTCAATTTCTTCATTAACGATATCCCGGATTGCTTCCAGTACTCTGAAGTGTTCATGTATGCGGATGATTTGAAGTTCGTGAAGAGAATTGAATCAAATGAAGATACTGAACGTCTACAGAATGATCTAGATAGACTAATACTGTGGTGCAAGAAAAATAATATGCATTTAAATTTTAATAAATGTTATCATGTTAAGTTTACACGTAAGCAAAATTATATACACTCAAAATACTGTACACCTAATTGCGAAATTAAAGAAGTGGATACGATTCTTGATCTAGGAGTCCTATTTGATAATAAGTTAACCTTCAAGCCCCACTTAGAAAATACTAGTAAAAAGGCTTCAAAAATGTTGGGATTTGTTTTAAGACAATGCAAATTTCTTCGCAACAATAAAACTAAAATTCTACTTTATAACAGCTTGATCCGTAACATATTAGAGTACTGTAGCGTAGTCTGGAGACCCCATTATGCAGTCCACTCCTTACGCCTTGAACGTATCCAAAAACGATTTCTGTGGCATCTTGCTTTCTCGAATGGTATTTCCAAAACTAAGCGCTCCTACGATAGCAGACTTTCACACTTTGGCATGATTTCGCTTGAAAAACGTAGAAGCCTAAATGACATGTTGTTTGCCTTTAAAATTCTCAACCAGAAAATAGACAGTCCACAGTTACTGGCTCTGTTCAAGTTTCGTGTACCTGCTAGGCTTCCGCGTGTCTCCATCACACCACTTTGTCCGCCCCTCAGAAGGACAGTTCTTGGCGCCAATTCGCCGTATGCAAGAATGGCTAAGACAATAAATAGTTTTAGTGATGTTTTAGACATACACTATGGATCAATTTCCAAAGTAAAGTCACTTGTTTGTTTACCGGATATTGGTCAACAATAATTTAATTTAATTTAATGTAAACTGCATGTATATAGTTAAGATTAATGTTTGAGTCTATGATTTTTATCTTCAATGTATGTATAATTTTTACAAAAGCGGTGTTTACCTATAAGTAATTGTTACATTGTTAATTGTTTTTCTTTAGTATGCCTATTTTATAAGTTTTGATGTAAACAATTGTTGGTAAACCTTAATAAATAAATAAATAAAATATCTGAGAACTATACCTTTTTAAATAAAATCATGAAAAATATTGAAAATCTTTAGATAAAGTATCAATCATTGAGGTACAATTTCACTTATAAAACACAATAAAATAAGTAATTATAGGGTTTGGAAACTGAATTTCAGGAAAAGCTTGGAAAGAAATTGCGAGACTCAATTTCTGAACTATTTATTATATGTACAAATTAGTAGTTATCACTCTGGTCGAGCCGACCCTTTTTGATGAAGCCTGGCTCTCCCACGGTAGTATTTCCTTATACTATAACCTAACACCAATCCCGAACGAATTTAATTTGGTATAGTCAGGAGCAAAAAACAATTTTACTAACTTGTAACCAATATCACCCAGCTTCAACTTGAAAATATGCTGTATCTGTATAACACGCATAGCATCCAAGCACTCACTTAATTCATAACAAGCGCTTATTTCAGGCGTATGATGTATCACAACATAGGGGGCTGGTAATTTCAGAGGTTGCCTATTTGATGCAGGAAACGTCTCCCACTCATCGCGTATGAAGAAATCGAAGTCATATAATTCTGGAGTATCTAAAAGAAAAAAAAGTAACGTTATTTATGTGAATAACATGCAATGTTTATAATAGTTTAGGGAGAGGAGAGGTAAATAATGCGATGTATGACTCACATGGGCAGTGCTATGAAGTAAATATACTATGTAAATGAAAAGGTAGGTGATTGGACTTTAGGTTATTTGTTCTAAGGAATCAAACCGATTAGAATAGGCGTGAACCCACGTTTGATTTACACAATCATTTAGCTTATTTTCAGTAATTAGCAACAATAGAAAAACCAGTAAGTGTGACGCATGTTACTAATCATCATCATCATCAACAGCCTTTAGTAGTCCTCCGCTGGACATAAGCCTCTCCTTAGAAAGAAGGTTTTGACCAACTATACCACGCTAGTCTGACGGGTTGGTATAGGGTTTGTGTCAAGTTTTCCTGCTCTTTGCAGTGCTGTTGTCCTGCGTAGTTTGCTCCCTTAGTCGGCTCTTACGACACCCACGGGATGAACAGGGGTCGGGACACTCCGTATTCTTAATCCGTCACCACACGGATACGGCGTTACTAATATTCAATTAATATATTCTTAACTCACATTCTTTAAAGTTCGTATAAAAATATTGTCTATTTCACCTTATATCATTTTAAAGTATACATAATTAAAATAGTAAGTATAGTAAATGCATGTTGGTTTCATTAAAAGATTTGTACATCTAAAGAACGTGTTAGAAATATTTCTGGGTTATATGATCTTTTAAGAATTTAAATATCCAAGAAGTAACGACACATTTCCACATTGCATATAACTAATTACATTTAAATCCAAATTGAAATAATCCGAGTTGCTTTGTAGGCCAGATAAGCAAGCTTAAACTTATGTATGGATAGTAGTTTCTTTTTTTAGTGATTACTTAATGATTCGGTTTACTCAGACTGATTTTTTTTCATTGTTTTAGCCGCAAACAATTAAATCTAGAATAAATCCAATTTCTATAATAAATAACAACATTAATAATCGATGGCATTTATTGTTAGTATTTTTTTAGGTAATACAGGACAAAAACTGAATGGAATAATTCATTCTTATTAATATTATAATTATACCTATATTATAATTTATTATCAGAATATTAATATTGAAATTAAAAAAAATGTATATTTATACCTCACCTTTTGTTATAATAATGTCGGAAAACACGTGCACAATTAAATTGAAAAAAAGAACACTCAAACAACCGCAAGGCTCTTGAATGGACGCCATATTGCTTATGCACATTATTCTTTGTTTCTATTTAATTTAGTTTCATAGTATTATTATACCACCGACGATTGATGATTTGTGACATTTGTGAACCGAATTGGCAAATCAAATACATACAATTACCTTATGATAAGGATCTGAGTCGCATGTCTTTCTTATAGGCTAAGCGATAAGTGCTCTATATTATGTATAAACGACTATATAGTAACACACTAATGCAGCCTAAAGTGCAAGTTATGCTCGCGAAGGAGACGGCGGAGCGGGACCGGGAGAGGTTTAGGACTCTCTCGGCCCGCCAGGCCCGGGAAAGGGCCAGGTACCGCAGGCGACTCAGGCGCCGGAGGTCGCAGAACCTGGGGGTGACAGGTGAGGCCATCAGGGAGCAGAGGGTTCATGGGGTTCCCACACGGGTCGGGTCGTCTACCTGTTGTTTGAGATGGCCCGAGGTATGTCGGGGCACCTGGAACTTACTTCCTAGGGTATAGCTGGTTCCCCGGCTATTAGTACCCGAGACGGCGTGCGGTTTTAGTCGGTTCGAGTCCGACATGCCACCGATAGGTGGTATCCGAGGGGATTTCCGCACGGAAAAAAAAAGGTACACCTGGGTTCCCGGCTACTGGTATCCAAATGTCGTGCGGTTTTTAATCGGTTCGAGTCTGACATAACTATCGGCGGGTGGTATCCGAGGAGACTTACGTACAGAAAAAAGAAAGAAAAAAGGGAGGCTCCTTTAAATGCAATGCCCCCAGACTTTACCAGAGATGACTAATTAATTTAATTACTTTTACGCTCGAACAAGAACGCCATAAATTTAAAAGTGTGTTTGTTTCGGGCCTATGCTAAGCTCAAACCGTTTTCAAATCAAACTCTAAAAAAAACTATATAAAAAAAAAAAAAAAAAATATAAGTCCGCCTTGTACATTTAAGTCGTATCTATCAATGAAAAACAGCTAAATAATCACTACCTATTCGGGTTCGATTCCCGCTCAAGTCAAACATTTGTGTGCATGAACATTTAATGTTTGATTTGGTCTGGGTGTTTCTATGTATAATAAGTATGTATTTACAAAAAAAAAGTATATATGTATTTATATCAGTTGTCTAGTACCCATAGTACAAGCTCTGCTTAGTTTGGGACTAGATGGCGTTGTGTGAATGTGGTACAATATTTTTCATTAATTTAAATCCACAGATATAAAATGTTTTATTTTATTAGGTTTTAGGAAAAAACACAATTAAACAACAATTGCACAAGAGGCATTAGTCGCGTCAAACCAAATTACATTAATGTCTGTAATATTAAGATACGCGAATACGTCTATCCGGTAATTTAGAAGAACATTTTCTTGTTTTTTTATCAATATCAGAAACAACAGGGGAGTTTTTAACAAACGTCGTACTTAATGAACTTAAAGACATCAATTAAATATTAAAAATTATAGAGGCTAAGATATTGGCGCCCATAAGTAATAGGTAAAATCAAGAATATTGACTATCAATCCAAGAGCATTCCTTGTGGTTGCCACAGTTGGAATGTCATATTTGTAGACGCAGATAACACATCATCCATCGCAAAAGTGTCCTATGTCTCTGGAATTTATTATCTCGGTACACGTGTGTTACGAAATATTAAACCGCGTTAAGGACGTAATGAGTAAGATCTGTCAAAAAGTCAATATAAAGGTCGACAATTTGTGCAATTTTCGTGGCTGGATCCAAAAATTGCGGAAAACAGGCCAAAAGAAACGAAATCACAAAAAATAGCAGCTACGATATTCCAACGACTTTTAAAGAGAAAAGGTTTTGCAAAAAAAAAGACAAATTTAATAAAATTTGTCTTTTTTTCATTGTCATGAAGCAACAGATTAGGCGGTTGATTGCGCTGAAAGTAAATATTTATTTGATTTTTCATTACAATGGTTAACGCCGTAATAGAAGACATTAAAACAAGATTTACTGCATTCACTGACGATTATAACAATTTTGGATTCTTGTACGAGATAATTAGTTTAAAAGCTTTGCCAAATAACGAGCTTTTAAGCATAGTAATGCTTTAGATGTAGTACTTCAAGATGGAGAAAGCGAAGACATAGAATCTTATGAGCTTACGAGATCAATCAGATGATTCAATACATAAATACAAATGAATTAGAATACATTTATCCTAGTGTTTACGTTTAAGTACACCTTCCGCAAAATGAGTTTTTTTAAGTTAAAAATGATTAAGGAATACTTTTCTCAAATCAAATCAAAATCAAATCAAATCAAAGTTTGTTTGCTATGAATGTAGGTACATCAAATTACAGATGGAATAGTTCTTCTTCTATGAAGTTAATTCTTTGAAGCAGATTTAGCCTAGAGGGTCTAGGTTAAGCCTGCTAGAGGGCTTCAGTATAGCAAAAAGCTGAAGAACATTACTTTTTAAGAAATGAAATCACACACGTTATAAAATAAAACCTTTTTTTCAATGTTTATGCTTTCCAATATTCTTCGTGCATTTTTTTAGAATCATGAGTCATGTTATGTCAAATTTTTTTGGTAAAATTAATCTATTGGGTATATATTGGCAACAAAAAAAAAGGGGCATCGCTGATGCGACTTTGTCCACTTCTATACTAGTCCATGCTACGCCTCTGCTAACTAGTACAAACTATAATCACGCCGAGTGGTAGAATATTCATATTTCCCTCGATATTCATAAGTCGAGTGGGTCCGATAGAATTTCACCTATCATATTGAAAACGTGTGCTCCCGATTTACGACCGGTTTCAACGTTCCTTTTTGAACTCTTCTACTCCCTAAGCTTTGTCTTGAAATCCTGGAAGGTAGCGTTTGTGCACCTCATCCCTAAAAGAGGGGACCGCTCGGATCCGTCCAACTTCAGGCCTATAGTCATAACTCCCTTGTTCTCTAAGATTATGGCATCGGCTAATAAAATATTCAGAAACTTCCTTATCGGAGGTTTCAGATTCATCACATCACATCACATCGACAGCCTTTACTAGTCAACTGCTGGACATAGGCCTCTCCTTAGAAAGGAGGTTTCAGATTGAGGTCGACTAAATCTAGACAAAAGACACAGGTTTACGCGTTCACCTCAAAAAAGATCAGCCAGTATCGGCATCCCAAGCATAGACATATCGAGCGAAGTTCAGTTTCGGGGTCACTTAGAGGGTAAGGTCAAATTACCCTCGAAGAAGCTCGGCGTACTGAACGAATCGAGGCAGTATTTCACTCCGGCCCATAGGACCGTCGCAACTTTCCGTCAACGTTCTACACGGCAAAATTTTCATCCCCATCACTTGGATAATTTGCACTCCACCACTGTGCGCTTTTCAAGGCACTTTTTGCCTCGAACAATCAATCACGTAATCAATCAAAAAAAGTATCACGCCTAATTTAGCTCTATGAGTTCTTTAAGACTATCGATTCCTCAACTTGTAAAATGGTAAAATACCTACGGAATCATGATACATAATAAAGAACCATCAAACCAAGTCGCGCCATGAGAAGCTGAACAATAAAAGAAGACGCAAGAAGTATCTTTATTCAGCCTATAGCTTTTATTACATAGTTTTTACAACTGTAATAAACAATATTAAAAGCAGTAAATCATTAATTAACATAACACTCAACTTCACAATCTTTTCACTAGATTCTTCTAGTAAAATAGTTATGGACTGCTTTCAAATAATTATAACACATAGGTATCATTACGATAAATACACTCAATTTTCTATAAACACAAAAGCCAAAAGTTTGGTAAAAACTACGGTTACGTAGGTAATCGTTGGTTGAAAATGATTACAATTATTCTTTACTAAAAATATAAAAAATAACTTGTGACGTTGTATTTATTAAGGTCATATCTATATTATTGCAAAACAGGAAAATAAAATATCGTCTATCATGTTACGGAAGTGCGGGAACTGACCTATAGTGTATTAAAAATGTGATTAACAACAATATCGCGAACAATATGTACGACTATAATAGCAAAAGAAGTACAAGTGACAAACTAAAAAGAACTATTGTTTTATTCTTCTAAATTAATTAACCTATTAAGTCTACCATTGTCTATGTACACCGTGCTAGACATAAGATAAAACTATTATGCTTCACTAAGACATCGGAGTAAAGACCGAATATAATACAATGATGTATACCCAGTATGGTACTCAATCGCCGTTTTTCAGCGACGCAACAGAGGAATTGTGACGGATTAAGAATACAGAGTGTCACCACCCCAATTCATCCCGTGGGTGTCGTAAGAGGCGACTAAGGAAGCAAACTACGCAGGACAACAGCACTGCAGAGAGAAGGAAAACTTGAAACAAACCCTATGCCAACCCGTCTGGCCAGCGTGGTATAGTAGGCCAAAACCTCCTTTCTGAAGAGAGGAGTATGTCCAGCAATGGACTATTAAAGGCTGTTGATGTGATGTGATGAAGGCAATTGCTGTATATACTTCTGAAGGTGGTTGGATGCTTATCTATACTAATATTATAAAGCTGAAGAGTTTGTTTGTTTGTTTGTTTGTTTGAACGCGCTAATCTCAGGAACTACTGGTCCGATTTGAAAAATTCTTTCAGTGTTAGATAGCCCATTTATCGAGGAAGGCTATAGGCTATATATCATCACGCTAAGACCAATAGGAGCGGAGCACCAATGAAGAATGTTTCAAAAACGGAGAAAATTTATTACTATTGAGAGACGCAGACGAAGTTGCGCGGGTCAGCTAGTACTAAATAGACGTGTATACAATTACTTTAAAAAAATAGTACAGATAATAATATAATCTGTACTGTGAGAATTATATACCCCTAATTTTTAATATATTTTCAAATTAGGTAAGATTGATTTAATAATTGATTAACAAAGTTAAACCACGTTCATTAATTATTAGGTATTAAGTTAGAAGCAGGTGTGCTTCTATTTATTGTTTCTGTCGCCCAAGTAAATGTATATCTTATCATATAATATCAAGCCAGTCCTCGAATGGGACAAGGTCAATGCTCCGATCCTCAAAAGTTGACATTACAGCTTACTCTGCTTAGTCGTATAGTATACTCCGTTGTGAATGGAAGAATGCTCAATCGGACACGTCATCTATAAATGGTTGTTCCTGAGAATAGTGTGCCCAAGATTCAAGACTTTTACGGTAATGGGGGTAAAAAATAAAAAGTAAAACGTAAATAAGGGGGGAAAAAATGATTCTGTCGAAGATTCAATTTTATTGCTGCTCGAAACGTTGATTGCCAAGACATTTCATACTAGCTTTTACCTAAGGCTCCGCCCGCGTGTATGTCGGTTGTTGAAAAGTAGCCTATACCCTTCTTCAAGAATCAAAGTATCTCCCTGCTGAATTTCATTAAAATCGGTTCAGCTTTTTAGGTATTATGAGAAGTTCTCCGTAAAATTGTTCGAACTTATTCCAAAAGACGACAAAACTTCCAAGACCATCACAATGTCAGTTGTCACCTGTGGTATTTTTGAACAAATAGGTGCTTCAAGAACAGAGCTTAGTCCTTAAAGGCCGGTAGGTATAATACCGCACCTGTGTCTCTTGAGGTGTTCATGAGAAGCGGTGCTCCTTACCATTGGGTGAGCCATTCACTGATTTGCCCCTTACTTCCTAAAGAAGGAACGTTTCAGAATATTCCACAATGTTTATTACATTTGTATACAGATTTAAATTCTATAATTCATGAGTATTGTTTATTTTAAAAGGTTTATGTTGTGTACCCGACTATGGTTCAATTAAAGACAATAGACTTTATTTTTTATTCGTATTCTTTTCTCAGGGTGTAAAATTAATTGTTCTTGTGTTGACGATAACATTGTTAAGTTCCCAATTTAGATCGAAAGATGTAAGTAGAACTAAAAAGGGTCTACAAATCAGAATACCTTAATCATGTGGTTCAATAACACAAATAGAACCTTTGTATTCCACTTAAAAACTATGATATTAAAGGGCCCTACATAACACAATGAAACTATGTGTTTTAGACAGTGTTTTAGATTTTTCTTTCATTATTACGAAGAAGTAAAATCATTACCTCTACTATGTATTTTATTAAATCTACCGGGTTACTAGTCAAGTCAACCTAGATACTTTAAGGAGTTGTAGCCATCATTTCTGATAGATGTCACTATGAAATACCATATCCCAAACATAACAATTTTCAAGATATTGGACTGTTTTGTAAAAATTGCCGAAATTTTGTTTTTAGGCGTGAAAGCGTAACAAACAAACAAACAAATATCAATTTTACATATATAATATGGGTATGGAAGTTTGGATTATACGAGTATATCGATAGTCAAAGATATATTCATACAATTGTTACTCAGAAATTGAATGGACCGTGATTTATACTTCTTTGACACCTCTAGGCGATAGCACGTGTAAAAACAAATAAAAATAGTTATGTGAATAAAACATGATTTATGGAAGTATTGTTTACAAGTATTCCAGGAATTAGACATTCGATATTTAACAGCTTAATAATATCTCACAACCATTATCCGATCAACATTAAAATCATCATAACCGGTAGATTTACAAAATATTTTAACCAAAGTAAACATATGCGATCGAAAAAAAGTTGACTGAAAACGGAACCAGTAGTGTATGGTCAATGTTTCTCAAGACCACGTAGGGGAATCACCTCTGTAAGAAATCAGTATATAAATATCTGTATAAGGTTTTTAGTGAAGTGTAAAGCGAACGGAGATTACGAGCCGGACGTATGGATAAAATACTTGTGTTGTGTAAAAAAAAGAGTAGATATTGTCATCGATAATAATAATTTGTTGTGTGATAGTTATTTAACCGAATCTTGCGCCACGTTTTTAAAAACGGTAAGTTAAAAATTAAAGTTGTAAATATTTTAATAATAACTACCTAAAGGAGATTTTTTTGCATAGATTAGTTTTGTATGCGGTGTTTTAGTAAATTCACAAAAAACATTTATAAAAAAAAATGACTATTAGCGAGCGGAAACATACGGTTCTAAGTTTATTTTGTAACAGTAAATTGGACGTTTGACGAAAAAATATGTGATTTGTTAAGACAACAAAATTATCATCTGCGGCCCCTTTTCACTATTTTTATATTATCGACTAACGTCACTTAAGTGTCAAACTAAAAACAATATTATTTCATTATGCTATTTGTGATTTTAAGTGTAAACTAAACAAAAAATTTGAATCATCGTTAAAGAAATGTTTTTTTTTGTTGAGCATACGATTGACATTCAAATCACTGGTTGTTTCAAGGCGTTATTTAATCAAGCAGGTCGTGACGTAAGGCCTTTTTGCTGCGAAATGTCTTCCTGTTTTTGTGCCTGTGCCAATGAAGACATTAAACACATTGAAAACAGAATAGAAATAAATACGTTAATCTAGCAATTAATAAGCTATATTTCTGAACTAACTGTTTAATAAACAAATGTAAGAATGAAAAGCGTGATTTTAATCACTAAAATAACGAAAAACGTATAATTAAAAATACATTAGTTAAATTATTTATTACTGAACCTTAAAATAAATAATTAATGTTAATTTACAATTAACTTAATTACCCTTTTAAGTCGATATGTAACCAAAACAGAATTATTTAATACCTGCAATCAGTTTTTCCAAGTCTTTAAAAGCCCCCTTTTTACAGTATGTATATGTTATATATACTTATATAAAAACGAATATTACGTAGGCATTTAATGGCCACTGATACCTACGTCATGATAACCTCTAATTACGATGTTATGATTACTTATAATGGATAAGAATGTGCGTACGTAAACTAAAGATAGTAACGCATAAAAACAGACAATTAGATTACATTTCATAAAAACAGAAATTGTTTCATTATATTAAGTTATCGTATATTTTTAGTTTATTATTCTAATAGTAATAAGTTACAGCACTACGATGTACTCCAGAATATAGTAAATATTCACTTTTCCCGCCATTTGACTCACATTCAGGTTATTTTTCTGTGTTTTGGGGAAAGTATTTTTTTTGTTGATGAATAATATTATACAATGAAATGAAAAATATGATATATATGATATATATAATGAAAAATATTGTTATAAATGACCTATATATATATATATATATATATATATATATATATATATATATATATATATATATATATATATTTATAATACACATCATTGCATAAAACAAACAAATTAATAAAAACATATAAAATGACAAAGTCTTATTTATTGCTATTAATAAGATAAACATTCAAACAATAATTTTATGATCTTGGTGTGATCATAGTATCAATTTATTATTCAAACTATTATATACTTTGAATCATAAATTGCTACTATGTAGCTAATGTCCAGTAATTATTGCATGCAAAGTCAATGTAAAACATAATATGGCAATTCAAATATTAGTTATCTAAATAAATAATCCAATTTGCAATTCTAATGAATGATACTATATAAACAGTAGGTATTTTAACACATCAAACACACAGCAGTCTGATCCCAAATTGGGCAAAGCCTGCACTATGGTAACAAGAATGCTAATCAAACATACTTATATATTTCTAAACAAAAATATATTAAAAAAAAAATACAACCAGAAACAAAACAAATGATTTTGCTCCTCTAATAAATATTTGTAATTGGTGGAAATCGAACCCACGGCCAACAATAGCAACAAGCTCGTCAAATATGTTTGTATTGTTTCAGATAATAATTTATGATGACTCATGCGGTGACGAAATACGAATTCTAATAAATATATAAAGAATTATGTTGTATAACACATTTGTATTCTTGTTCGCGTGTGTTCTCTGTGCAGTTGTCGCAATGCCGAGCGCTTATCCAGGTACGTTGTTAAATATTAAATTGTTGTAGTAAGTTGTGACTACGAAATAGTTCTATTAATATTTGTGGAACTTATCGTGTCTTATCGCTCACCGTGTTCTAAATAAATAAAAAATAACATCATTATAAAAAAGGAAATTTTCATTTAAGATGGTAAATTTTTTGATCAAGAAAGAATATCAAATATAAAGGGAACGAATGAAAAAGCTTTTAGTTTTAGTTACGAATGTTTGTATTAGTTTTTTTTTTCAATATACCAAAGGGTTACAAAATCTGATAGAAATAATTACAAGTAAGCATTAATTAATCAATTCTTAACGAGTCGTTTATGCATTACTACGAGTATAGTCACATTGACTAAACTCTAAATTTAAATATTGTTTAAATTTAGAGTGATTATCTGGTTGTTTTTTTTTAAGATACCTGAAGGAGGATACAACCTGTTTTAAAGTTTTATACGTTATACAATTATGTAATTTTGACAATGATTTTTTACATTACACGCTACGCTCAATCATTACTACCTCGGTGGTGCAGTGGCAGCGTATGCGACTGCTGTGCTGAGGTCTCGGGTTCGATTCCCGAATTGGACCAAGTGTTTGCATGGTCTGCAAATATTTATTTCGGAGTTTTTGTATTTTCTATGAGTGCTTTCTATGTACATATTTACAAAACATACGTATATAAGTATTCTATCAGTCAATCAAGCTATCATAGTACAAGCTCTGCTTGGTTTAAAAGTTTTAAAACTAGTTGGCGTTGTGTGATGTCCGAAAATATTAAAAATAATAAATATTATAATTGTGCGTATGTAGTTGACTGAACTCCTCCTAAATGGCTGGACCGATTTTGATGAAATTTTGTGTGTGTATTGAAGTGAAATTGAGGATGGTTTAGATTAACAATTAGGTTCACTTCAATGAAAAAATGTTGCGAAAACGGGCACAATTCATTCCTTTTTAAGGGGGGAACGAAGTTGTGCGGGTCAGCTACATATATATTTTAATTTCGTACGACATTCACTACTGCCTACTTGGTATAAGGGCTATAGATAGGTCTCCATAAATGCCATATGTACTCTAGGTATAAAGTCTTTGACTAACCAGATATTTTACAAACTTACAGACGTTCAGCCGTTCGACAATGAGGTCTACTCATACAATTTTCCATTCGTCCCTCGCTACGATTGGCTGGCCAGGAATCCCAAACAGACGTCGCGGTTACCCACACCAGTCCCATATGTGGTGATCCATCACTCGTACATTCCGGCAGCCTGCCATGATAAAGACGAATGTTCTGCAGCCATGAGAAAAATGCAAAATATGCACATGGATGATAGGGGCTGGTGCGATATTGGTTACAAGTGAGTTTATGAAGAAATTACTAATATATTATGACTTACAATTTATTACATCAAAAAGGTTGCGGGTTAGATTCCCGCTGAAGTGAATACATGAACGTATATATGAATATTTATATTTAATATATATATATATGTATAAAAAAGTAAAAATGTATCTATATCAGTTGTCTAGTCCCCATAGTGCAAGCTCTGCTTAGTTTGGGACTAGATGGCGTTGTGTGAATGTGGTAGAATATGATTATTATTTTTCTCTTTATTTCATCAAATATACATATAACTCTAAATGAAGTTACGGTTTTCAGTATAAGCAGATAACTCAATAATAGATCCGAGTATCTTCTTGCAATTAAGTTTAAGTCTACCACTTTTGCGACTGCACACATGTTTTATTCTGTACCTGCAAGAACAGAAAGTTGTTAGAACCTTTAAGGGCTGATATAAGTAAAGGAAGCCCTGAATAACCTAGTCTGTAATACGAGCTGAGCTGAGCTTGATTACCAGATTGGACTATATTGGTTTATTTTTTTATTTTAGCATAAAAGACATTAAATAAATTGTACTCATGTGACTTTTGTACAAATTTGCTCAATAAACTATATTATAATTTTGAATACCATACTGTATTTAGTCTCAGCTAAACATTTAAAATTCTGACCAATGTATGAAGAACATGCTTGCTACTTCGACGTAGGAACCACTAACAAAATCGCAAAGAATTTTTAAATAAAAATTATTAGTTTTTTGGTTTTACCCGGTAACATCAACCTGGTAAAACCAAAAACCTAATAATTTCCGATCCAAACCTAACTTTGTTATTGTAAAACAAGTCCTTAAATGACACTAATCAAGATAAATGTGGTGTCTCATTGCGTGACACGTTAGTTCGTAGTATTAGTAACGCGAAATACTCTCTTTTCCGAGTTAACCAATTATATATTTTATAGTATAGGTATATTATAATGAATCACCCAATAGTATCCTCGTCGCAAGGCAACACATACTCTATTAATTATTAGCTGTTTAATTGTTTATTAATATTTAAGACCCTTAGCGACGTGGTTAACGATTATTTTTATTATTTATTTGTGAAATAGGGGGCAAACGAGCAGACGGGAACTTGATGGAAAGTTAACTACCGCCGCCCATGAACGCTTGCCTTTGAGAAGGAGTACGTTCTTTTCTTTACTGTAAAAAAGGACATAAAAAATATGTCCCTCACACAAAAGACAAATCAGATGAAGAATGTTTTTCATGATACAGTTAATTTAACTAAGTTTAAAATAAAACAAAAGACTTTTCGCCTAAAAGGCCGGCAACGCGTCTCCTGAGTTGAAGACGTTCATGGGCGCCGATGGTGACTTTCCATCAGGTTACCCGTCTGCTCGTTTGCCCCCTCTAACATAAACAAATATATCTTGAAGATTAGAATATATAGGTATATACATATAGATTAGAATAATAAGAGTGATATTTTTTGATGTCATGTAGTTTTGAAATTATTTCGACCAACAAAATCGTATTTTTTTCAGTTTTGGTGTAGGCAGTGACGGTGCTGCATATGAGGGCCGCGGTTGGGCAACATTAGGTGCTCACGCGCTTTACTTCAATACTCTCAGTATTGGCATTTGTCTTATAGGAGACTGGTCAAGTAAGTATACTTATTATTGAATATTCTTATAAGGTAAAATGCACGTAAATAAGCAAGACATCACCACATACCTGTTTCAATACTGCCCATTACGCCCACCTGAATGTTGCAACTGACCAAAACAACTTCTGAAGCACTAGGAAATACTTTATTTTAAATGATGATGATGATGATGATTTATATTCTAGATGGCAATTGCTGATGGTATTTGTTGCACATGGTGTTGCTACCCAAATAAAAATCATGATTGGTATAAAGAAAAAAGTTTGTAGGGTTTGCCTTAGGCCTTAAAAGAAAACAGCTAATCGGTTTGCCTACATTAAAAATTACAGCGACCCCAAATAATTTCAAGCAAATGAAAAGAAAGAAAATCCTGATTAATTTATTTATTTTTACATTGAATGCAATGCATACGACGGACTTAATGCCGTACACGTTTTCTCCCATTCTATTTTAATTTAATTTATTATTTTCAGCTCTTCTCCCACCAGCTCAACAAATAAAAACAGCTAAGGCTTTAATAGCAGCTGGTGTACAACAAGGCTACATACGGCCTGATTACAAACTGGTCGGACATCGCCAAGTGAGAGCAACTGAATGTCCAGGCCAAGCGCTGTACGAAGAGATCCAGTCTTGGGATCATTACTCATCTTTCCCAGCAACCTATAAAGATCTGATAAATATTGCGGAGTTACCTGAGTCTGTGAAAAAAAATATCTTGAGTAGTAATGCGACCAAATCTTGATGTGGGACTTTATTGTGAGTCTTACACAATAATATTTTGCAATATATAATTACATATTATTTATTGCCAAAAAAAGTATATACGTATTCTATATGTATTCAATCTAGCTTTCATAGTACAAATTCTGCTTAGTTTAAAACTAGATGGCGTTGCGTGTCAGATGTCTCAATATATTATTATTATTACTTACATTTGACACAGTAGGTAACAAAAACTTTTTGCTCAACATTTGTGATCTGCTCTATCATCAGCCTATCGCAGTCCACTGCTGGACATAGGCCTCTCCCATTGCACGCCACTTAGATCGATTTTGGGCTTCTCGCATCCAGCTCCTGCCAGCCATCTTGCGCAAATCGTCACTCCACCTGGCCTGTGGGCGTCCTACACTACGTTTGCCGAGACGCGGTCTCCACTCAAGAACTCGTTTTCCCCAACGGTTATCGGTTCTGCGGCTAATATGGCCAGCCCACTGCCACTTCAACTTGCTGATCCGGTACGCTATGTCGGTGACCTTAGTTCTCTGCCGGATCACCTCATTTCTGATGCGATCCCTTAGAGAAACGCCGAGCATAGCCCTTTCCATAGCACGTTGAGCGACTTTGAACTTGTGGACCAGCCGTACCGTAAGTGTCCACGTTTCAGCTCCGTATGTCATGACGGGTAGGACGCACTCATTAAAGACTTTCGTCTTAAGGCACTGTGGGATCGACGATGAGAAGACTCGACGTAGCTTCCCAAACGCTGCCCAACCCAACCGAATTCTTCTGTTCACCTCGTCCTCGAAGTTGTTTCTACCTAACTGCAATGTCTGCCCGAGGTACACATAATTTTGAACAACTTCGAGAACGGCACCGTGTACCGCAATCGGTTCCGGTAGTACATGTTCGTTGAACATGACCTTGGTTTTATCCAAGTTCATCCGTAGGCCGATGCGTACAGAAGTGTCAGCTAAGTCATTCAGCATTTGCTGTAGGTCCTGCAACGTCTCTGCCATGATGACGATGTCATCTGCAAATCGCAAGTGAGAGATGTATTCGCCATTGATATTGATGCCACGCCCTTTCCAGTGCAGCGTCTTGAACATGTCCTCCATTGCATTTGTGAACAATTTCGGGGAAATCACGTCCCCTTGTCTCACTCCTCGATGCAATGGTACGGGCCTTGTTTGCTGATTCTGTACTTGGACGGACATGGTGGCGGCTTCGTAGAGACATCTCATCACTTTGATGTATCGCCAATCTACTTGGCAACGCTGCAGGGACTCCAGAACAGACCAGATCTCGATCGAGTCAAAGGCTTTCTCATAGTCCACGAATGCTAGACACAGGGGCTGATTATATTCTTCGGTCTTCTGTATAATCTGCCGCACTGTGTGGATGTGGTCTATGGTGCCATATCCGCTCCGAAACCCAGCTTGCTCCGGTGGTTGGAATTCGTCGAGTCTTCGCGCAAGACGGTTCGTGATGACTCTCGAAAACAGCTTGTAGACGTGGCTTAGAAGGGATATGGGTCGATAGTTCTTCAACCTGGTCTTGTCACCCTTTTTGAAGAACAAGACGACCACACTCCTACTCCACGCTTCTGGAGTTCTCCCTTCAAACAGGACAGCGTTGAAGAGCTTTTGGAGCTCCCTTAGTACGGGTTTACCCCCGGCCTTCAGCAGCTCTGTTGTAACGCCATCCTCTCCAGGAGCTTTTCCATTTTTCAGCTGTCCAAGAGCCATCTCGATTTCGTCAAATTCCCGGGTTATAAAAAAATTGTTAAATTTATATTTAAGAACCCCAAAAAACCCCCAAAATTTGGAAAAAAAAAATGATTAAAAATTTTTTCCCCCAATTGGTTTTTGTTATATTAAATAAAACCATTTCTTTAAAAATTTGGGTTTTTAACCCATTTTTTTTTTAAAAAAAAGTTTTAAAAAAAAAAAAAAAGGGTTTTGGGGAAAATTTAAAAAAAAATTTTTTACCCCTTTTAAAAAAAAGGGGCTCACGATTCCCCAAAAACCCCCATTTTTAATTAAAAAAATTTTTGGCTTTATTTTGAAAGTGACCCCCCAATTTGTAAAAATTTTCCCCTGTGTGAAGGGAGGGGGGGGAAAATTTTCACAATATTATTTAGTTAAAAGGTACCACCCCCTTAAATAAATTTCCCAAAATTTAAAATTTTTTCCAAAAAACCCAAATTTTTGGTTCCCCCCCGGGAAATAAATTTGGTCTATGAGGGTTTTTCCCCCCTTTTCCCAAAAAAATTTTTAAAAAAATTTTTTTTCCCAAATTTTTAAACATTTTAATATTATTATTAAAAATGGAGAAATAAAATTTTAATAAAATTTTTGAATTTAAGATAAAAAAACATAATTAATTTATCTATATAAAATTAATTTTCCAAAAATTTTTAAAAATTTAACGGGAAACAATTTTTTGATTTTTTTTACCTTTTGGGAATTTTAAATATTTATTTAGGGGAAATTTTTAAATATGATAATATGTTAAAAACAAATTTGGTATTAAAATTTTTTAAAATATAAACAAAAAAAACCCCCGTAAAAAAATTAAAAAACATAAATATTTAAAATTTAAAAAATTTATTTTTTTGTTTTTCGCATAAAATGCATTACATTTTCATAATTTTCCTTCTCGGGTTTTGGGTCTGAAAAATTAACATTTTAAAAAATTTATAGTAACTAATAAATTTTTAAGGGCTGCATTATTTATTACTTTAAAAAATTTTTATTTATTTGTTCCTTCCCAGGCTGGATTTTTTGTAACGTAAAGAAAAAATTTAAAAAAAATATAGGATAAATCCACATGTGGGAAATAGTTTTAATTAGAAAAATTTTAAAGGTATATAGTATGTTAATATTTAAATTTTAAATTTTCCCTATTATTATTAAAAATTTAAAAATTTAATTTTTATAAAGTAATTAAATTTTCCCATCTATTTTTAATAGAAGAAGGGTTTTTAATTTAAAATTTATTTTACTGCATCTAAGTTTGAGGGAAAAATGATAATTTTAATAGATAAATTACGCCCACCAAAAACATGTAAAATGTTTACTTTGTAATTAAATCCGTGTAAGACGAATAAAAAATTGTCACCCCCAAAATTCACCGTGGGTGTCATAAGAGCCCCCAATTTGGGAGCAAACTAAAAAACAGGACAACCCGCACGGAAAGAGGAAAAGGGAAAAATTGAAAAAAAAACCCTTTTACCAAAACCCCTCTGGCCCCGCGTGGGATAGTAGGGCCCCAAAAACCCCCCTTTCTAAGGAGAGGCCTAGTCCCCGCAGTGGACTAGTATTTGGGGGTTGAGGGAAAATTTTTAAACAGTGAAAAAATTTTTAAAAAAAAAATATATACAGGGAAAATTTTTTAAACAAAAGTTTAAAAAAAAGTTTAAACTAAAAAAAAAAGATTTCTTTTTTTTTTTTAAACCCCTTTTTTTTTCCCGGGGGGGGAAAACCCCTCGGTCCCCCCTATGGGGGCCCTGTCGGGAATCGAAATGACTAAAAAACCCCACGCCATCTAGGGTTTCTAATAGGGATACCCCAGGGAAATAAGTCCCTGGTGCCCCCACATTTCCTTGGGCCATTTCAAAAAAAAGGTAGACGGGGCCCCCCCCCGGGGTTGGGGGGGGGAAAAAACCCCTGTTCCCTCTTTCCCCCTTGGAAAACCCCAGCGGCTTTGCAAAAAGCGCTCGCCGCCACCCCCGGCCCGTATTTCTAGGGGACAGATGGCCTCGCCTGTAACCCCCCGGCCCGCGCTTATGGAGGGGCGGAGGGGCGTTTTGCGACCTCCGGCGCCGAGTTTGCCTGCGGTACCTGGCCCGTTCCCGGGCCTTTGGGGGCCAAAAAGGGGTCCTAAAAACCCCCTCCCCGGGCCCATCCGCCGTTTTTCCTTCGCGAAGCATAAATTTCTCGCAGAAGGGGGCGGCAGAGTTCCCCCGCATCTCGCTCCGGGACGATAAACCGCCCAATTTAGGCTATCGAGCGAGAAAACCCCAAATCCCCCATGGCCGCACGAGGGGTTCGCCTTTTCTAAAACCCGCCGCAAATCTGCTAAACGTGTTTGGGGGCCCCTGTAACGGTCTGGCCCTGCAAAATGGGGCACTCAGGCGTTGGGGCTCCTTGCGGAAAGAAACCCCCGGGGTCCCGAAAAAACCTTTCCCCCGTGATCCCTGGTCAGGCGGTAAAGAGAGGGTCCCGTGGGCCCCCCTCTCGAAACCCAAACCCCCCTAAAAGCTCAAAAAACCCCCATAAAAACCTCCCTTTTTTAAAAAAAACCCCCTTTAAAACCAAAAATAAAAAAAAAAAAATTATTAAAAATTTCCCCCTTTTCCCCCCCCATTTTTATAAGGGGGGGTTTTTGCAGGGGGTTTTTTCCCCGGGTAGGCCCCTTTTTAAAAAGGGTTAAAATTTCCCCCCCCGGTTTTAACATATTTGTCCAAAAAAGGGGATTAAAACCATTTAGACATAAAAAAATAAAAAGGGAAAAAATTGGGGGAAAATTGTTTGAAAAAAACCCCCCAAAATTGCTAATTTTAAAAATTAAGGTTAAATAAAATTTGGGGAAAAACTATTTGCAAAAAATTCCCAAAAAATTTTTAAAAACCCCTTAAAAAAAAGGGGTTTTTTAAAAAAAAAAAAAAAAAAAAAAAAAAAAAAAAAAAAAAAAAAAAAAAAAAGGGAAAAAAAAAAAAATTTTGAAAGGGTTTTTTTTTAAAATTTTTAAAAAAAAAAAATTTGACTTTTAAATACCAATATAAAAAAAAAAAATTTTTATAAATCTTTAATTAAAATTTTTAAAAATTTAAAATTTTAAAAAATATTTAATTTTTTTTTTTTGTATTTTTAAATAAATAGGGATAATTTAAAAAAATTTTAAGATAATTAAAAACTAAAATTCTTTTTGGCAAAATTTTTTAAAAATTTTATTTTAATTTTTTTATTTGGTTAAAAAATTTAAATTTTCATAAAAACATTTTAATTAAAAAAAACCCAT